CTTGAACAACGCGTACGCGAGGAGTGTTTATTACTATTCTGGCGATCTTCGCGACAAGGTTCCTCCTCAGAGGCTTGTCCTCGTCGTGTCTCGCCATTGCCAAAGCTTGTCGTGTTTGACTCTGGCATTCTCGTTCCTGTCGTCTCTGACGTCGTTTCTCCCGCAACACAATTATCCGTCGAGGTAGTAGTTCCAGTGCGCCCTCCTGAGGCTTGCTCCAAAAAACGCGAGAACCAAGACTTCGACGCTTTTTCGGGTTGTGACTCCTTTCTCGGGCGGTTCTCGTTTTGCTGCAAAGATCGTCCTTGTAGCTGTGTAGTAGATGTAGAGCTATTTTTGTCACCTACAGTCTGAGTACTAGGGCCAGCAGAAGATGCAACAGCTTTGCAACCAGCAGTGTTCCCTTCTACTTTTTCTTTTCTGTTCTGTGCTGCAGTAGTTTTCGTCACTAACCAATCGCCTCCGCATCCGGGATATTCGTCCGGCAGGGGAACCGGGTCGTAGAAACCCTGATCGAGGACGCCGGCGATCGTGCGGTGGTGTGGGTGCGTCATTCGATTTAGGAAGGCATTCCGCACCTCTTCGTCTGGGAACACTTCGAAAGCGGTGTTACTACCTGAGCTCCCCCCTGCCGACGCGGCGCTGGAAGAGGAGGAATTGACTCCGCTCGAGAAGTAGCGTTCCATGGTCTGTTCGCCCTTGTTCACGCTGTCGGCGGGATTCAGGATCGTGCTTATCATCGAGTCCGAAACGACACCCACCTCCTGGCTGCTGAGGCAGCGCCCGCGCATTTCCGCAGCGTGCTTGTCCGGCGGGTCTTTCAGCACCGAAGAAGTGTTGCAGTCCGGGTTCAAGTGTCGCCTTTTCCCGACCAACTCGTTGCGCAGTAGTTTTCCCAGGAGATCGAGCACGAAATGTGCAAGCTCGTCCATCTTCCGTGAGGTTTTTGCGCGCGGCGTGTCCTCGTCATCGTCGACGCAGTGTTGATCGTTCTTGCCGGCCGTCTTCGGGGTACTAACAGGATCGTCCGACTGAGTCTCGCAAGCGGCCTCGTCTGGGTCTGTCTTTGCGACAGTACGACTTTTGCTGTTCGCCACAACTTCCTCAATCAGCGACTCCTTCCGCGCCAACAGGGCGTGGCTCCCAAAGCGAATCAGACACTCGGCGAAGCAGACCTCGCTTCCCCGATGGAACTCCTGCAGCACGAGTTGGGGCATCAGGCAGTCCTCTTGCGTCACCTTCTGCATCGCGGCGAACACCTTTGGATTGGGATCCTGCGCGGCAGGCAGTCCAAGACGCGCCGTCTTTGCTAGCGCTCCACCGAAACTGGGAAAGACGCTTGTCGCGGCCAGATGTGAGAACTCAGTTTCATGCTTAAAGGGCCTCGCCGCGTCATGCGATTTTTGATTTGTCCTTTCGCGTCCTTCGTCATCGTCCCCCACCTCCTCAAAGGTAGAACCCTGGTCAGTTTTGTTGGCCCGGCGCATCTTTGCCGCGGCAGAGGCCATTTGCGCGAAGAACTGGCGGCTTCGGGACCGGGACTGATAAAAGCTGTCAAGAAAGGCGTCCCCAAGAATGTCGATTCCGGACACCCAATGCTGACTTAGCACCTTGTAAGCCTCGGTAACGTAGGGGGGTTGGCGCAGCATGAGATTCTGCATCTGGCGGCGCAGGTTGATCCCGTTGTCGCAGACACGGTCGTAGAGTTGGAAAATATCCTCCCGCAGCTGCACCGCACTGAACGAACTCACGAGGAAGAAAACGAAGAAGGCGTTCCAGATTTGCAGTGCCTTGCCAGGCTCGGCGTAGTAGGCGATCTTGTCATCTTCATCTGCGCACTGGCCCGCGTAGCCCGCCTGGTTTAAATTCAGCCCCGCACAGTGGATCACCGGCGTGTTGAGCAGCAGCTCCGGCATACCGGGAACCGCCCAGTGGGTCCGGTAGTAGCCGTATTGAAACCACGTACGGATCCCCTGCCAGCTGTACCACTTGTTTTCGGCCTCCTGTTTCAGTCCGAGCGGTTTCGGGCGGTAAAACCGCAGATCGATCTTCTTGCTGGCCATGCCCTGCAGGTCTTGCTTTAAATGCGTTTCCAGCAGGTTCGGCAAGTCTCTTTTCGCACAAAATTTGAAATTCGTACTCCGCTTCAGGAAGGTCGCGCTGCAGTCCTCCGGCATCCGCTGCAGCCCTAAATCGTGCGGCATATCGTGCACCAGCTCCTCGCCCAAATCAAACGTCCGCTGTCGCTGCTGCTGCCGGTGTAGCTGCTTCTGCTTCTTCGTCTTTCGCGGGCTGGAGCACGTGCGGCCTGAGGCACCGGGATTCTCTTTTTCGCCATTTTTCGGCGGAGTAGGAGCAGAGGACCAGTTCTCCGCTATGTCCTTTTCCAAGTTTTGTCTATTTCGGTGCTCATACACCCAAACGGTATCATCATCATGATCCGGTTTCTTGGCACTACTAGATCTGGCTGTCGGAGTCGCGTCTCCTTCCGTTACCGTTTCAAAAACCCACTCCGTGTAAAGGGGCACGGAAAACCTCGGAATCTTGAGGCACTCTTCGTAATTCTTGAAAACGCGGACCTCACTGCGGGTCTCGTGGTCCACCCCGCCTTCACAAAAACGCAACGACGTCTCTCCCGCCTGTGTAGATGACCCCAAATATGTTCCTTGCTTCTGTAGCTGCTCGACTTGCTCTTTGGATAACAAAGAGGTGTAGCATCCTCCAACCGGAGGAGGAGGAAGTCCTGGGACATCTATTGTGCCGTTGCGTGCCTCTTCAACGGCGTCAATGATTTGCTGTCGTCTGGCGCCGGCGCTTATCGTTTTTCTGGTCACTTCAATCCTCTCGTAGTTTCCATACCCAATGTCATGTTTCTCAAGTTCGGTGAGTGTGAGGCCGAAGCAACTGTCAAACCACTTTTGGCTCCGCTTAACGCGGTTCTCATGTTCTGTAGCCAGTTCTTCTTCCGAGTCCTCCTCGCCACTCGAATCATCGCAGTTAGCGAGAGCAGGTGGACCACCACTTGACCTAGATGGATTCACGCTTTTGGTCTTGTTCAGTTGCTGTTTGCTACTTGTCCCAGATTTATTGCCTCCACTTGCTTTCGTCGTTCCTCCTTCGCCACCAACATTGTCGTTCTTCCGATCCAACTCGAGCTCCTCGGCGGCTAGATACGACCACTCGTGCGTGTAAGAATTGTAAAAGCGGTAGGGCAGATACGTCTCCTCTCGCTGTATCTTGCTCTCCACGCACTTCGCCAATTCCGCCAAGTCTTTTGCCATGTCGTTGGTGCTACAATTTACCTGCTTCTGGATGTCCTTCTTGGTAAATTTCGCGATGCTCTCGCCGTACTTGGACGCCAAATGTTTGAACAAGGGCGTGATCTCCTCCTTCCAGTTCTTCAGTTTGAACTTTCTCGGTTTGGTTTTCTTCAGCCTCGGCCCCTTCCACAAATACGCCGAGTAGTACTGGACAAGTAAATGGCGGAGCCGGAACACCGCCCACACCTGGCGATAGTTAGGGACGCCCAGCTCCTTCTCGGTCGCGCCAAAGCAAAACCGCATCTGCTTCACGCACTTGCCGCCGCTCCAGTTGAGCACGTTCTTTGTGACCTCCTTCTCAATGTCGTCGTACGGGCGGCACACGGGAGAGTGGAACGTCGCAGCGCTCTTGCGGCAACCCTCCGAGCAAAAAATCGCCAACCGGCATTTCTGACACGTAATGGCGTACTTCTTCACTTCTTTTCGCTCATCCGTCCACGTGAACCACCGACGCGGGAAGGGGTCCTCGGCGTCGGCGTCGCGACACACCACTTGCCGCTGCGTCCCCGAATGTTCAGCACTACTATTACTTGTTCCTTGCCCATTTTCAACACCGGGCTCTTCTCCAAAAGCATGCTCTGCGTCGTAGTACAGCTCCTGAAAGCAGGAGTAGCAGACACGTCGTAAGCGCTTCCCGAAGTTGCACGAATACCGAAATTCCTCTGGCACCGAAAGGCAGTCCAGCAATTGGTCCGGCGAGTATTGGTTCTTGCTTTTTTTGCTGGTCGAATTCGGAGTCGATGTTTTCTTCGCCGTGTTCGTCGTGCCCGTCTTTTTTCCATTTTTCGCATTCGCTCCACCAGCGCGACGTCCTCATCCAGCTTTGGACGCATCCTTGCACGAGCCTCCTGAAGATCCAGTCTTCGATGGCGTTTGCATCGTCCACGAGGACGAAGCTGTGCCTAAAGTCTGTGTACTCGGTGAACTACCGGGATTCGCAGTGCTCGTCGCAGACGAGATTGCGCCCGTAGTACTAGAATTCCAAGTGCCTCAGCGTTTCGTCAACATGCTCGAACGACGACGACTGCTGGGCCAGTCGAGCCGAAGGGGGGCTGGTACTGGATTGAAACACATCAACATAACACACAAGCACAACTACAGAAGTCTTGCCAAAATCAATAAAACTTGCCACTACCACAAAGGCACATCCATGTTTTTTTTCAACATTCCTTACCCTCGTCGCTCATGGCATGACCTTTCAAATACCTTCTTCTACTGAGAAAAAGAGTAACAGGAGCTGAGTCTGAACGACGATGGAAATCAGATGAAGAAAACGAAAAGCCTGCAGGCATATGGTCCACCAGATCATGAAATGCCGAAACTCGATGATCTCGGAGCCTGTCGGGAGGCTCGTATGAGGATGATCGGGTCACTGCTCCTGTAGGGGCTATTTTGTTGGATCTGGAGCTGGTCCTGGTGCAATAGCAATGCCCAAGGAAATAACCACGATCGGAGGACCGACGAACGAAACAGGAGTCACGAGACAGGTACTCAGTCGGACTTTTCTTCACTCGGGGAGATGAGAGCGAAAAATGCCCTGCTTTCAAGAGAGAAATCCAAAAGCACAAAACAAAGCGCATGCACTGACGATGATCCAGAACTCTTTGCGTTTGCAAAAAGAACGAACAGGCGGCTTGCGCCCGTCGAAACACTGACACTGAGAGGGACACTGAGCATGTTGCTCGCTTTCCATAAAAACTGAGATTCGTTTCTTCGCGTAGAGAAGCGGTGGCCTCCGGTGCCTCAAAATAAAGTGCGTTGGTGGGTCTGCAACTACAAACCACAAAGTCAATCGCGTGAGAGCCAGAAAAATCATCGAAGGTGAAACGGGTGGCATAGCGATTTTTTTATCCTATACTGGTTGCTCGAAAAGTATCCACAGACTTTAACTAAGTATCAACAACGCCTCTCTTTTCAGAAACAGGTGAAACGACAGCGCAAAAGATTTTCAATCATGATCAGCACCCTTATTACAAGCTGATCTTAGATCCGTTTTACCGCTTTTTGTTTTTTAATCATCGAGATCGCCTTATGTGCTTTTGATATTCATTCACTTTACAACTCTAATTATTACCTTATCGGCCTAGTATTTCGGTCACGTTAATAACACTTTGGAGTTGGACGCAAGTGCTAGGCATGGTCATGAAAACGGTTGAAATCGTGGCTCTGATATTATTTTCGTCACATGCTAAAAGTGGAAAAGTCCAAGAGCAGACAAAGAACTTGCCCGATCCTCTAGATCAAGTTCTCCTCGAGATCTGGGTTGCTGGTCAAGCGAGCTTCTTTCCAGCCGTACACTCCGCTCGCAACGACGAACGCCATCGCCACCCAGGCAAGGCACGTGGAAAACGACCACATGGAAAAGATCGCCCCCGAGTTGTCAGAGGCAGGGGACTCGGTTTTCTCTACCAGTAGCTGTTTCATTTTGGGAGCCAGCGCCAAATTTTGAGAAGCACGGGAGGCTGCTTCTGCATCAATTTTACTTGCTCCGGACGACGTGCTAGTCGAAGACGCCGTCGCGGCGACATGCGCAGCCGTGTTACCGCCAGCGAGCGCCACTAGCGGAACTTCCTTGAAATCCTTGGACTCAGGTGCGGGCGCGTTATCTTGCATGTCGAAGACCACCTTCAACGGTTCATCGGCTTTACCCGGCGCGAACAGTTGGAAGTCGACGAAGCACGGCTCGTCAAAATAGCCCTTGCTCGCATCCGCATTCCCGCTTTTGCCCGTGACACAACCATACCTCAGTAATTCAAAGAGATTAAATGCGTTTGTGCGTGCCACCTACACATACGTATGTTGCGCGTAACCACTACAGTTACAGGCACAGGCTCATCCGCGTTAGTTTTCTATAGCCAGATCATATTTATTAGTACAAAAGTGCTAAAAAAATACCAGACATAGATCATCGGCGCGGCTCCACCGCCTCCGTAGGCGACACTTCCGAAACGCGATGGCGCGATGCCGGACGAGATTCCGGGAGCAAAAAAGCTCTGCATCCCGATTTTCCCGAGCAGAGTAGTCATCTCTTTCGGTGACTCCGGCGTCGCGAACACATTGTAGGAGTTGTCCGCGTACACATCGTCGACGAATGTACCCCACTTCGGAATGGTATCGATCTTCTGGTGCAAATTGTCCCACTTTTTGCTGAATTCCGAGATGTCCTTGGGCACGGCCTGCTGCTTCTGATCTCCTTTGTAGAAGCCCATGGGAATGGAAATGTCGCACTTGAACTGCCAACCGTTGCTGCAGCTCTTCTCCTCACTCCCGGAATACTCGTAAATGTAGTATTGGTGGAAGCACACTCGGTCACTGTCCCCCATAGTGCACCAGTCGTAGAGGAGAAAGAACGGCTTCGTCGGGTCCGCGTAGCCACCTTTCGCCTGTCCGATGTAGGGCCCCTGCCGAGAGGGAGCTGGATAGGCTGTCATGGTCGCGAACGACTCTGGTGTGTACAGAAACATCGACTGCAAGATCGCCTCGTGGCCACAGAAGCTGACCATGCTCCCCTTGTCGTACCCGTAAACACAAGCGTCGGGCGCGTACCAGTTTTCGATCAGCTCTGTGCCCTGCTTCGAGTCCCAGCCGTGCGTCAGCACCACGTGTTTCATGTGCTTCATGTGTTCCTCGGGCGTGTCCGCCGGCGCTGGCACCGCCTCGACCACTTTCACCGGCGGGAGCTTGACCTCCGGTTCGGGCGCCTGGAATTCGTACACGATCTTGTATTTCCCCTCTTCATTCTTCTGCACGAAAAAAATGTCGATGAAGCAGGGCGGCCCCAGTGCTGGGTCCTCGTAGATTTGCCACTTCTTCGGGCCCCGCAAGTGCTCTAAGCACCCGTACCACATGGCAACCGCCGGTGCTGTGGACCCTTTCGGCGTCTCGGAGAACAACACCGTGCCCCGCCGGAACGCGCTGCCCACGCCGTCGAAGGGCGCGAAGAAGTCCAGAATTTCGCCCTTCTTGTTGGAAAGCACCTGCAGCGACCAATCTTCCGAGCCTGCTGCCGGCAACGGGATCGTCGTGTAGGCGTCGGGGGCGTAGGCGTCTTTGAGCAGCTTCCCCCAGGTTTTCCCGTCAAACGCTTCGAGTACGAGAAAAACGTCCTTGTACAACTCGGGCGGCATGGCCACGGGAGCCGTCACCGAGCCCGTCGGCGATTTGTCGGCGATGGTCAGACCGCCGTGGAGCACGGCAAAATCCGCTGTGATCTTCCACTTTTTCGCGTCAGGGGAGTACTTGTAGACAAACGCCTGGTGGTAGCACCCCGAAGCACCCGGCAACGGGCTCTCCAGGCACCAACTCCACTGCCCAAATAGGGGCTTTTCCGGGTCCGTCATCTTCCCTTCTTCAAGGAGGGGCCCGACTGCGAACTGCGCCCCTTCCATCAATTTCATGGTCTTCCTATGAACTGCAAAAGCAACGTACTCGTATAAATGCATTACAAATTTCCTTAGCATCAGTGATAAAATTTGTAATGCGGATTTACCTTAAGACAAAAATTTGTAATGCATGATTCCAATACGAGTACGATACTTTTGCACAGGATACTTCCACTGCTCCTTGGGGTATTGCTGCAGGGCAGAAATCATGGCCGCGCGGTCGCACACCTGCACCATCGGTGGGCTGCCCATCCCGGGATTGGGCTGGTACACGCAGGCGTCTCTGGCGTACCTGTGAAAAACAAATAGAAGCAAACAGGATGAGGCTTTTGTTTTCGATATGCTTTCGCTTCGTGAGCCGTAGCAAGCAAGAATACTATGTGGTGCAAACACACTTGTTGTCATTGATGCTGGCCCGGAATTATGGCGCTTTTAAAGGGGGCAACCCATACCCAGTTCGAGGAGTGAAAAGACACACTGACGCTCACTCTCCTCGAGAACCAAAAGTCCTCGTGCTCCCTAAAACTAGTGTGGTACCATTCCTCCAGGTACTCTTGGCCTTCCTTTGTGTCGAATCCCCGCGTGCCGGCAGTTTTCCAATCATCAAAGAAGCTCTTGGCGTCCGGCGGAGGCACTCCCCCGGCTGCAACGCCACAAAAGGTCGCCGAAGCGGCAGGCCAGAAAATTCTACTTCTTCGGGCCATGAATTGAATGGTGCTTTTATTCTTGAGGTACAAATTAGTTAAAATGTTCGATCGAACAGGACGTTAGCGCCTACAAGTAACAAAGAGGCTGATCCCTATTCCTCCTGTAGGTAGTTCTATAGCCGGGTGCGCACACTCAGACTCAAGACTTCTGCAGGTGAAGATCGCCCCATTGATTTGATACCGTGGAGAAAATCCGGCACGAAGTTCGGCAGATGTTTGTATGCGGAATGCGCTTCATATCTTTATCTGAGTAAACTTAAGTAAGTACATTGACCCGCATACTCAAAAGTCATTGCATCCCTCCATCGGGGCACTTTGCTTCTCTCGTCTTCTGTGACGGGCAATCTGCTGTGGCAGCACCGATTGGAGGCAATATTCAAACCGACAACAAATCTGCGTCGAGGTATTCATTCATTTCGTCGAGAATTGGTGAGATTAACCGAAATTTTTGGATGGAGAAACACGAAGCGGTGGCTGTAACCACATGTTGGCTTCCGTCTCACCTGTACTTGCTGCGGTTTTCGTTTTGTCCTTACTCGACCACCCGGTGGATTCATCATGTTTATAAATTGCATTCGCTTTTTCGGCAGAGTCACGTCAAGGTTATTATCGGTGTAGTCACTGTCTCATGCCATTTTCTTACTGCTTTTTGATTTTCGGACTGCTCATACAGTTCCGACTCCTCCGCTCGTTGCAGCATCTTCGACTTTTTTCGACAATATTTCGGACAGTTTGCAAATATCTTGGCCATCCGAATCTTTGTCATTGGCTTCAATCGGTCCAACCAGCTGTCCAAGTTTTGCTCGAAATTCGTGCAGCTTTGAAACATGCAAGACAACTTTGTTGCGCTTGAGACATCCCAGTTATCCATGGGTTGGTTGTAGGCACGGCAGCCCTCAAACATGCCCGTCATGTCGTGACACTCCCCAACATCCCAGTCCGCTACGCTCTGGTTGAACGCGGCACAACCGGAGAACGCGAACGATAGGTCAAAACACTTGGAAACGTTCAGGTGGTTCACTGGCTGATTAAAGGCGAAGCAATCGCAAAAGAGGGCGCTACCATTCTGGAGAGATGCCGTGTCCCACCCTCCAACCGGTTGGTTGAAGCGGTAGCAGTGGCCGAACATCCCTGATGCGTCCACGACGGACCGCATGTCCCAGTCAGATACCTCGGAATTGAAGCGGTCGCAGTTCCCAAACATACCCTCCATGGAAGTGACGTTAGTTGTGCACCACCCGGAGATGTCGCACTCAAACCAGGCGATGCCTGCGAAGAGTTCTCTTAGGCTGGAGACGCGCGAAACGTCCCAGGTGACCATAGGGCCGTGTTTGTCCGTGATGTCCTGCCACTTCTGCTCCATCTCCGCTCTCGTCAGGTGCTGGTATGCGGCATTCAGCTCGAAGGAGTGTCCGTCGTCTTTCCTCCAAATAACGCGCTCTGCCACTATATATTGATGTTCCGTTGTGATACTATCTGTCACCCACTCTCGGTGAATCCAATCTTTTTCCTCAGCCGGAATGGTCATCCAAAAACAGAAAAGCTCGATCGCGTCATCAAGCTCTGCGCGTGTTGCAAACGGCTCGAACTCCTTCTCGTAAAACCTAACAAACTGGTCTATGTCGCTCGTGCTCGCGACAGCAGTCGCGTCTTCACCTTCACCTTCTGTATCTGCTTGCTCAGCCTCACAATTCATCTTGTCCATTGTATTTTGTTCATCGGTAATATTTGCGGCCTCCGCAGCGGATGACAGCTCTGTTGCGGCTGCTAGCTCGGGGAGATCGATCATAAATGTGCGCGGCTTGCGGACCTGCAACGGTTGCAACAGCGCGGAGTGGTCATCCCGGCCTTGAGCAGCACCTGCAGGTTTGCATATCCCTTCCCCTCCTTCGGAACTCTCTGCCACTTCATCTCCTGTTCTTTCGTCGTTCCTTGCCCGTACCGCCAACTCCGACCGCGGGTCCACCACGAGCTCGACTAGCTGCCACGCCCGTGGCCGCTCCAGTCCTCTCTCCGACGCAGACCGCGCCGCGACGGCCCGTTTGATTTGCTCCACCGAGACCTCCGGTGCGTCGAACTCTAACACAATAGTCTGCTCGAAATCGTGCAGACGGTGCAGAGTAAGTGTGTACTTCTCTTCGCCTTCCACCTCCATGTGCTGCGCCATGAGGATTTGCGAAAGTAAGGAGCTAGCAGTATCTTACGTATCGTCCCAGTCAGTGTAGTTCCAGGAAGTCGAACTGATCTAGCTGCAAGTAAAATGCTGTGCCTCTTCGAAATGCGCGGCTAGTGGAGTCCTATCGTTCTAGTGAAACTTGAAGTCGCAGTTTTTATCATAGTGAAGTAGAACGTAAAAACAGCCCATGGATCACATACTTGCGTGCCATACAGTAAACATGCACTGTCCTTACACGATGTACGTGTACCTGCCCTGCGATTCAAATCATTGCTTTTGCGGCCCTTTTTGTGGAAAATGAAATCCACACGAACTCAAAAGCAAATCGCCTGGACAGTAGAACCAGTTCTATCTTCTCGGCTGACCACAGGAGTGAGGACAACATCATGATCTTGAAGTTTTCTGATGCATAGCTCAGCACATCAGCTTTCATTTTCAAGACCAGTTCCAGTATTCCGCTTGAAACTTTCACGTCTTTTTTTTTTTCATCATGACAGACACTTTTGGTTCGATTAGAAGAGTGATAAATTCCGATCGGTTCGCGCCAAAAGCACGACCTTCAACGGTACTGTAGCTCTAGGTTTAAACATAGAAAATTGCATCGCTCAAGAAAGAATTTTATGTACTTGTTACGGCATTACCCAAATAAAATGTTTTCACTGCTGAGTGCAGGTTTTCGAAACCCTTTCCCAACCTTTCGATAAGTTCTTCATCTCTTCTAGGGAGACGGGATAAGCACCAAGAACCTTTATGGATTCCGAAACCGAATCACCTCCCGCCACCTCCGTCTCCTGTTCCTCCTCTGCGGATTCTTCTTCAGCAGCTTCGTCCTTTACTGCTATTGTGGCAGGAGGAGGAGGAGGACCTGTACAACCTTGTGGAAGCTTAGCGACTGCCGAGACAAAGTCTGCGATGTGCTCCTTCCCCGCATCGGGCACAGTGTGCATGGGTAGATCGATTCCCACCAACGCTTGCCACTGCTGCGGCGACATGCCAGGCGTCATGTATAGGCTGTGGTAGGCCTTGTCAAACTGAGACTGGGGCGTGGGGGTGGCGAAAGCGTCCATTCCTGGCAGAGAACTAAGCACCGCTTGGTCTCTCGTTTTTTTCGGCGCACCAGCCTGCTTCGAGGCAAGCGTAGAGCGAGGTTGGCCATGCATCAACGGCGACACAAACTCGCGCACCAAGTAGCTAAGGTAGGGTACTTGGTGGAAAAATTTCTGCACAGCGGGGTGCTTTTGGATCATGTACTTGTTTGACGATGTGTCCTCAGTAGAAGTCGTCTTCCCCGGAACTCCGCTGTGGTCGAGCCAAAGGCTGGCCGCGCAGTTTTCCAAACCAGCTATGGGAAGGCTTTCTGGAGGCAGGCACTCCTGCTGCATCAGGTACATGAAGGGGGCGATGTGCGGCCGCTCCGTTTCGGACCGAAAAATTTGCCCACATATCAAATGGAAAAATGTCTGGGTCTGGAAGATTGCCAGGTTTGTCATGCACATTTTGCACCTTGATATTCCCGATTCACACTCGGGGGAATTTTTTCTGGCTTGGAGACCCCCTCCCACCCCCCCGATCTCGGATGTGCGTGAGCCCAAGAAAGTCCAAGGACTTGAAACATGCAAACATTTATGCGTGAGGGCTGCAGAGTCGCATGAAAAACAAAAAACTCTGAGCGAGCTGCACCGCACATGCGCGACCGAACGAGCGAGAAGTAATCAACAAGAAACTAGAGATAGAGGTGTGCGGCACCTCAAGGCACTTATGATGGCGACGAGAAGATGAAGTAGTTTTGTTTTTTTGAATTGTCAGACATTTACGTATTACGGTATAAAACAGGTCAGCACTACCTCGATTGCGGTGTTTGCAAAGCGAAGCGGTAGCTGTAAGTTGAATTTTTTGTTCGTCATCATGGAGCTTTAGTGTGTCCACATGAGTGTCGCGGGATCTAAGAGCCCATCTATGCGCCCGCCTCATGGAGCACGCTGTGTGCCAGGAACGGGGCCGGGCATAAAAAGCGGGGTGCGGCCCCTTGAAATAGGTGGACTTATTATTAATTATTTCTTATATGCAGCCAAAAGAGAGCACACACGCGCGCGGTGAGTGGGTGGAGTCCTTGGGTGCGGCCCGACCGAAACCACCACTGCACCCGCCTAGAGATAGCAAAAAGAAACTTGGTGCTTCCGGGTGCGGCCCATCAGCGAGTAAATAGAGTGGCTGCCTCTAAGGGCGGTAAAAGGTAGAAGCTAAAGGCTAAAAAGTATCTATCAACGACCGACCCCGATCAGCCCGTTGGCAAGACGAAAAAAAAACATCTGCCCCTGCAACAAATGCGGGGTCCGCCACCTAGCGCTACAAGGATTCCAGAAGTAAGCAAGACGACGAGAAAGAAGTAAAAGGGTAGAGACCTGCATCTACGTGGGAACGCGGGGAAAGCAGGGAAGATCCGGCATTTCAGCATGAGGAGCGTACGAATTTGCGATCTAGCTCCATCGGGGGCGGTAGGTACTCACGAACGAAGAGCAATGGCAACGAAGTGCAGCAGTCTTTCGCGAGACCAAACGAGATGGCAAGCGAGGTCCGCGCGCCCCCCCTGGAGGTGAGATGCGAGGGTGGCCCTGTATTGTGATCTGCAATCTGCATTAGACCACACAGGAAATGAGGATGTTGGAGAAGGATCCTAGATGAACATGAGCGACACTAAGGAACGCTCCAACAACCTCAGCCAACCACTGCCCTCGCATTCACAAGAGACCTGCCAAGGCAGACTCAACTCCGGAGAATCTTCCCGAAGCCGACCTCTAAGTTCGGCCTGGTCGGCAACGAGGCAATGTCCTCAGGGGCCGTTAGGAACCTCCCGAAACAACCGTCAACGAGCTCCAGCGCCAGGAAGCCGCTGACGAGAGAAACGCACAGACTGTTCCCAGTGGCAAGAACAGAAAGGCAGGGACATAGGTGAACCGACAGTGACACCAACTCGACCAAGGTAACCCAGAGTTCCGGACCCGGGGAACACTGGGGACCACGCGGCAGGAGCGCAGCACAAAGACGCCTGAAGTGTTCCCAACCGCCAGTCAAGCAGCAGCCAAAAGTCAACGGAGGCAGCAGCAGAAGCCACTCAGGTACTCCACCGAAGACGAGAGGAGCCGCAAGACCCAGAGCAAGCTCCGACGGCCACAACAGACGCTTCTACTGTCGCAACACCACTGGGGACGAAGACAGAGGGCAAGGCAAGAGCCTCGCGCAACGGGAATTTCCCACCGAGCCATGTCAACGACCTCACATGAGAAGGCGCACCAGGACGGCCACGAGAGGGGATAATCTAAGGCACCCCGCATTCAGCCCCGTCTACACCACCGAGGACGACGAGCATCTCTCGTCATTATGTTCACCGGATCCATCGTCAAAAATTCACGTCGTGCACGCCGCTCTGCCTCGAGGCATTGTCACTCGTCCGCTAGACACACTCCCACTCCACTTCGATGGAAGGCCAGACATCGCGACAACATAGCACAGCAGGGTTAGGAGTGGCTGTGCTGAGTCGCGTCTGGAGAGGGAAGCTTTAAGGAGCACCAGGCTGCCCGATTGTCCTATTTGGGCGAGTTTTGTTGTCGCCCCCGACCGCCCCCCGTCGCGGTAGCTGGCATCACTTCTGCTCGGGGAAGCCGTCTAGCCCTCGGCCATGGCAGAGGCTTCTGTCTGTCAATCGCATACCGGGCGTCGCATGTGTACGCGGCTAAGGTTTCCGAAGTTGCTGCGTGTCGTCTTTCGCTCGTAGCAGATAGGTTTGTAGTAAGTATGGAACTGTAAAAGGCAAGGCAGAAATGTGCTTGATCCTGATGCGAGAAGGCTGGAATTAGAGCGGCCATGGCTGAGCATGACACGACTTTCACTACATCTTCCGCAATACATGAGATGTCAGCATGACAAACCGATGTTTTTGTAGTTTGATTTTCTATAACGCATCACTTGACATCCAAGAAAACAGAAGGAAGAGGAAGCTAGAGAAAGACCGAGCTTCTGCCTTGACTTACGCCTCAGATATTTTGTTGGATCCATCCGGCGATGCCGTGGTGGAAGCTTGCCCCCTCCACCCTGTTTCAACACTACAAGAACTGAGTGCGCCGGCCCACACAATTCGAAGTGATATACGTTGGGCTCCTGCGCTCATGCTCGTCGTCAGCGTCGATAGCTGCGAGCAACACTTATCTCATCGCCGGATCCGTCGCCGCTCGCTCTCGACGGCACTGGCCTCCGCTCGCATCCGCCGCATGGCTCCGCCTAGGTGTGGCCGCGCGACAGCAAGGTCAGAAAGTCTTCGCGCCGCAACCTCGTAAGCCATTCCCACATCGACACTTCTCGTGTACAGCGGCAGAAACTAGGCGCGGAGCCGCAAGTAGTGAGTGTCTGTTTGTCTTCAGACACGACCTGAAACTGGAAAACTGCTTCGCTGAGCTCGAGTGCGAGGTAAGCCCGGGAACGTAACCCGCCGCGCAAACTAGGTGTGGGGCCGCAAGTGACGCACGCCTGTTTGTCTTCAGACACGAGCTGAAAATGGAAAACCACTGCGCCGGACTCGAGGACTACCTGGGAACTTAACTCGCACCCCTGGCGAGGGCGAGCAGAAACTAGGCGCGGAGCCGCCAGTAGTGAGTGTCTGTTTGTCTTCAGACACGACCTGAAACTGGAAAACTGCTTCGCTGAGCTCGAGTGCGAGGTAAGCCCGGGAAAGTAACCCGCCGCGAAAACTAGGTATTGGGCCGCAAGTGACGCACGCCTGTTTGTCTTCAGACACGAGCTGAAAGTGGAAAACCACTGCGCCGGACTCGAGGACAGCCTGGGAACTTGACTCGCACCCCGGGCGAGGACGGGGGACGCGATTTAGCATTAGAAGAGGGCCTTGCTGTGGGGCTGGCAGTCGATGTCCATCAAGGCCGCGCTTGTTGCTGGATAATCTTATGGTCGCGCTCGGGATAGGAAAGCTGGTGCGTAGTGAGGTCTGTTTACTGAGGAGATATACGTTCATGTTATGCGGATCGCCGATCTGAAAAACGCATGACAGAAACACGCCAAGCACAGGGAGGCAAGGCCGAACAAGACACAACCGAGAAAAAAGAAAACGGAAACCCAATACGCAAGTGGAAAGCGACATGTGCACGGACCTCGCCAGCAGCTTTGAGCAGACATATCTTGCCCCAGTTGACGACGCGGAGGATGTGTATCGGTTCTCCGCGTTGCACTACCAATTGCACCCAAAAGGAGGGCGCCTCCCGTCCTGCAGCTGTGCACTAGCATAGACACGTTTGCCGTAGCAACGGGATAGACACGTCTTCATTTTTTCACTGCGAGGAGTCGCCGACGGGCGCGTCCGCTTTTAAATCGCTCCTTGTCCGCTCGTGATTGCGCTCAGCTCTTGGGCTCGGTCTGGATGCGTCGGCTGTCATCTTGTCCTCATTTCAAGAAACCAGATGTGTTGCCAGTGGGGTTACATTGAAGTCTCTCACGCGGAGACCAAGACCGCTCCGCTTGCGGCCACCGGGCTTGCGCCTGCGAAGAGTCTGACCCGGCTTCCGTACGTGGCAGGACCTAGGAACACGGCGACTTGTTCCCAGTTCACAGCAAGCGTTCAACTTTAGGTCGTAGGAGGCTCGCCCAGGTGAAGATGTATAGTAGCAGACGCAGTCAACTTAAGTACAAGGCAAAGAGACATCGCTTAATCGAACCTACTCAGTGCTTTGAGGTCGTGCTCAGTGCTTTGAGGTCGTAAGCGGCCCTAATTTTCAGAGACCGAGAGCACCGCCAGAAGGGAGCCCGGCTAGCCGCGTCTCGCGGATTTACGTCCACGCCCATCTTTTCATGACCCGACTGCAGAAGGCCGGGGGCTGGTTAGCGGGCTGCCGTCACCACCCTGCGTCGCGGCCCCTTCGACGTCGTGCTCCTCCATCGGCACCACGACGACTTCTATTGATTCCGGTGGCGCTCCCTGCACAGGCGGGAGGCTAGGCTCGTTTTGGGAGGCGCGTTGCGTGTTCATTTCGTCGATCTCGCTGTCCTGCGTCGCGACGTGACATAGGAACTCACTAATTGCCTGCGAGGGAGCATCGAAGGGGTTCGGAGCAACGTTCTGCGGATCCGATAGCAGCGCATCGATGCGACTGATGTCGATCAACTCGTGTAGGCCGTCATCGCTTGTACTGGCTCCCACCTCGTCCCGGAAACCTTCGTGGGATCTCGTGATTAATGCCGCGAGAGCCCGCGCTTCTTCGTCGTCAACTGGCCGCTCTTCCCGCTCTTGGCGGGCCGGGGAGGGTGGAGGCCATTCGTCTTCCCCCAGGCCTTCTGGCCCTGATGCATCTTCCCCCAGGCCTTCGTCTTCCCCCATGCACATTTTGCATGACTCCTGATGTCTGTGATGCATGCCCTAGCATCACAGATTTTGTGAGGGCTTCCTGATGCCTATACCGCATGACAAATGCTCTTTCCGTGTAGCAAAACTTGGACTCTCTTTGCTGCTCATGCAATACAGATTTTTTTAGAATCCAAAATCAGCATGACAAGTTGATTCTTCCAGACCCAGACATTTTTACAATTGATACCACAACAGGACCAACGAAAGCAGTTGGGGTACGCCTCGCAGAAAAGTTCCTCGTTTCTGTGTATCAAATGCAAAAATGTCTGGGTCTGGAAGAATGCAACTTGTCATGCTAAATCTGACGCATGCAAAAATCTGTGTTGCATGATTACCAAAAGCAGTGCAGTTTTAGCCAAGTCGGGAGGCAGTTTCTCATGCAGGATAGGCATGAGAAAGATCGCACAGAATCTGTCATGCTAGATCCTGCATTCCAGACCTCATGGGTCACGAAAAAGCTGCATGACAAATCGCGCATTCTTCCAGACCCAGACATTTTTACATTTGGTACTGTGAAACACGTACTCAAACTCGTGCTTCAGCCTCGCTTCCTCCGGACTGTTCTTTACCTTCCCACCAAAGCCAAGATGTATGATCTCCGCGCTTTTCGCTAATTTCGTTCCCTCGTCCTCCGTTTTGCGGGCGGTGCTGGTGGAGGAGGTTCCGTCGCTTTTCTTGTTTTGATTTCCCTGCTTCTGCGCCACGGTTCCTTTCTTCCTGTTGTTGGTGAGAAAGCCGGAGGGAAAGAGCTCCGTTCCTCGCCCGGAAAAAAGAGCTTCTTCTACGATCGGGCAGACGCGCATCTGGAAATCCCAATCGATCAACTCTAGTCTACCCTCGTGGTCTTCGCAGTTCTCCGTTTGCAGGCGGACCATCTTGTCAATTTTCTGCTTCCCTTCCTTCCCCATCTCTTGCGGCAGCGAATGAACCTGAAGAAGGTACCACAGGAGGAACTTCTTGGCCTCTGCCTTCGTAAACACCTTCACCGGAATGTCAGGATCATCTTCAGTCGCTTTGGCTTTCATTTTCTTGCTTTGCCCTTTTGCAGTTCTATCTCCCTTGTGCAACGCCGCCGAGAAGTCCGGTTTTGCATCCTTTAATATCTTTCCCGCGTTAAGATGTTCTTGCCCCTGGCTGTTGAAATACTCCACAAGCTCCCGATCGTAACCCAATGCCCAATTAAACAGATTGCGGTGCGCCGGGTTGGTCTCGGTCGCCGCGGAGACCTTGTGCAGCATGATCGGCATCACGTCAGTCCAGTTTGTCATGGCGGTGTTCATCTGGCCCAAAAGATCGTAATTGTCGGCAATGGCTCGCATTAGACCGTCCGAGGGACAGTTCTCGTTGATTGGGTGGGGAATTCCACATAAACTGCACTTCATCGGCTTCTTCCACCACGCGTCCAGGTTCTTTTTATTTGTTCCTTTCCCCTCCTTGTCTTTTTCCGCAATCTTATTTTCCGCCGTTTTACTTGCTGGGCCATCACGATATCCGATTTGGGTGCCGAACATGTACCGTGTCAAATTCGTCAGAAACTGCCGCCTTTCAATTGGTTTGTTGGGCGGCGGTGACGAACTTGTTACTGTCGTGCTTTTAGTACTATCGACGCTATCTTTACTTCCCGTAGGCTTGGTGGACGAGCTAGCGACTGTAGCAGGCGGAGACGCAGGGATCTTGTTATACATGAGCCTGTAAATGTCTCGTAACAAGGTAGGAAGAAGCCTAACGCCGTCCTCCCGCGTGGGGAATGACGGATTTTGTTCCTCCTGGTCTTCATCTTCTTCGCGTAGTATTTCGTCAGCCTTATCGGGCGACGACACGCTACTGCACGCGCTGCTACCCGGCGTGGCGGTCAGCGCGGAACACCGTTCCTCAATGGCTTTGAAAAGACTGACCTTTTCGGGACTATCTTTCCTGGAGGTTTTTCCATTCTTCGGGTTCTGGGGTGCTGGGCTTGTTTTCTTCTGTGGCTGCGGATTTATTGGGTCGATCCTTGTGGTTGCTGCTACTCCAGCTGAAGCTGATGTGGGGCCTGGTGCTGAGGAATTATCTTTATCTGCTGTACTTTTTTTTGCTCCATTTTGCGTATTACTACCGCTGCCTGTATTTTTGCCCCCGGAGCCCTGCTTTTTTTGTCCGCGGTTCTCCGAGGGGGTGCCGCCCGTTTTCTTGTCATTGTTTGTTTTCTCTTTCTTGTTTTGCGCCGTAGTCGACTTGGAAGTAGATGTTTTGCTGGCGTCTTGAGCAGCTCCACACAACGGCCCGGTACCTTCACGGAGCAACACCAGGTTCTCAGGTCGCGCCAATACCAGCTGCATTGTGCTAAGCGGATGCCCACAATAAACTCCCACATCGGGACGATCGGCGTTAATATCTGAACCTAACATATGATCCCCATTGCAACGTAAGACCCGAAGATCGCTGTCGAGGTGCACTCCGAGTCGCCCGGTTCGGCCCCCCTCTATCATTGGCTCGACCCAGATGCCGTTGAGTTCAGTGCACACATCTTCTACCCGAGCCAAGACACCCTGGTAGTCGGCCGACTCGCACAGATGCACGGGGTAATCGTAACTCTGACGACGTGCGTCTTCGTTTTCGCGGGATGCAGTAGTTGTACAGCCGCTGTCGCGTGTCTTCACGTCAACATCGGCTGACTCCAGAGGCGGGTAGTATCCGACGTCCGCTCTCATATGCAGGTAGGCGTTGGGCTTTCCATCCGTCGTCGTTCTGGGAGGCTGCGCATCAAATGTAAAAATGTCTGGGTCTGGAAGAATGCAACTTGTCATGCTGCATTTGGATTCCAAAAAAATCTGTCTTGCATGACTACCAAAAGGAATTTAATTTTTGCTACGCGGAGAGGGCATTTGTCATGCGGAATAGGCATCAAGAAGCTCTGAAAAAATCTGTGATGCTAGGGCATGCATCACAGACATCAGGGCTCATGCAAAACGTGCATGACAAGTGTCAGAATGTTCCAGACCCAGACATTTTTACAGTTGATACTGCGCCGGCGCATTCTGGCACATTCCAAATCTTTCCGAAAAGTTCCCCGACAGTTCCTTCAAGCCCGCTGAGTCCAAAAGCCGGGGTAAGTCCGTAATCAAGTCCCGCAGCTTATCTGAGCTATGCCAAGGATAAAAGTCGTATCTCACTGTCGGTAAAACTTTAGTCGAACAAGTGGACCCGGGTTTTTCGAGATGCCCACTGGATTCAGCTTTGTCGTCGTGAACGGCGGTCGTGCTGATGCGATTGCGAAATAGTTATATGCATTTCTTGGTGAAATCGCTGAATAATCAACGTCAAGTGGCTGCACTGGCAAAATAATTTCGCAGAAGAATAGGAGTTGCGATTGCTCAGAATCAGATAGTAATGAAATACATGAAGTGCAGTTGATTGACTGAAGCCACAAAAAAAAAAACGGTACATTTGACCGGAGTAAAAGTACCCGGACTCGCCGTGGGTCTTCCGCGCGGCCATGAGGCGTAGTTCCTCAGCCCTGCCTGAAACAAAGCCGCACGCTAGCTCATCGCCGGTGGCTCGAGCTCCCTGGGGTCCGGCGGAAAACTTGGAAGATCCATTCGGCGCCATGACGAGGCCATCGATAACGACAAGGGCATTTTTGAGCTTTTCCGGGAACACATTGCTGACAGAGCCCAAGTCCTTCCAGTCGGTGCAGCCGGTAATAGGCCGAGTGAGGCGGTACGTGTCGAAGGGGTTTTCGTTCTCGCGCTGCGCTGCTCCCTGACTCGAGCAGCTGTTCGATATGCCCTGCGCAAACAACCGATTAACCGGAAAGGTGCTCAAGCGTCGCCCCCCGCTCCCGACCGAAAATCGATGCAGCATTTCGTACGTGCCCCGTTTGAGCGCTTCCATCCTTTCTCGCGCGACCGGCTCAGCCTCTTCCCCCTGCTCTGCTAGAATGTTCTTATACCAGTTGGAAATTTCCTGCAGCGTTTTCGCCGGCGTGCAGTCGACCTCTTTGCCGCTGGGCTCGCAGTTCGCCTTCGGGGGACATCCCTCCGCCACGGAAAGCAGGTACGACCAGGCGTCGATACCTCCCACGTCCGCGAAGAGCACGGCGAACTCTTCTAGCTCCTGCTGCACTTTGCAGCAGCTGCGGAAAACCGCGTTGCGCTTCACATGCACCCGGGCGTTGCGCGCCTGCGGTACCGTGTTCTCCAGTACATTGGCCTCCAGGGAAACGCCCTCGTTGTGCCAGAAATCCTTTGCAGACGGGCACTGCAGGTTCGCGACGTACTTGCTCTGAATTTGCTCCAGCTTTCCCAGGTGCTGCGTCAGGTTCTGCCAAACCCGTTCCGTCAGTTCGTCGTACCCGAACTGCTGCAAGTACTGCCACGAATTCCACGGCGAGCACGCCGGGTGAAAGTAGTACTCTTGCGTGTACGGGCACTGGTGCCCGAGCTGCTGCAACACTTTCTCGGCGCGTCGGAGCCGGCGGCCGTACAGCGTTTCCACGTCGAACTTGACCAGTCTCGGCATGCAAAACTGGTACAAAATGTTGGTCGTTTTCTGCCGCACGACGGAAGAAAAGTGTTTCGCTTTTTCCCACCACCGAGGCATGGCAGTCGTCAACAGCTTCCGTAGCGCGTCCTCTGACGAAGCTGCAATCTTCATTGAGCTACCGGAAAGTTCATCTGCAAAATCACTCGCGGTCCAAGAGGAATGGCTGCTCGAAGCTGCTGTAATTCTGTTTCGATTCGTCCTACAACTGCCGGCAGCGTCGATTCGTGTGAACAGCAAGGTGTGCATGTCTTGCGGACCATCAGCGCCAGAGCAGGAAGATTCCTGTTCTTGATCTCGCGCAATGCAAGAAAAAACCGGCTTACATTCGTTTTTTGAAGCTGTTGCTGCATCGTTTTCACGTGCGCTCTTCTTACTCCTCTCACGCTTTGTTCGTCGACGTCCCCCCGCTGGGCATCCGTAGACCCACTCCGCAAAAGTTCGAAGACTTGGCCGCTTAGTGCTAAACACGCTCTCCTCGCCGTACTTTTTCACCGCGTCTTGTTTCGTAAATTGCTTGTGCTTCAGCAAGTTTGCCCGCGTGTACTTCACGACGAGGTGCGTCAGCAAGTTGCTCGCGGTGCTGGCGTTTTTATTGTTGTCTTCTGCGTTGTTTCCGGCTTCGTTACCCACTGCTGAGAAGTCGTCCTTGCTGTTGCGCCGGTTCTTCCCCCCGCCGCCGCCGCCGCCGGCGGTCGACGAACTGCTGTTTTTGTCTTCCTTCAGAATCTCCTTTACCTTGTCGGCGTACTTGGGATCGCTGGCCAAACTGCCCAACAGCGCGCTCTTGATATCCTTCTGCCGCTGCTGCACCGTCTTGGTGCCCCACTGCTTTTCCTTCGTTGCGATTTTGCTCTCCGTTTTCTGGATGACGCTGCTCTCCTCCTCTTCGGTGGACGTTTTCCAAGTGAAATCCATGAACCGGAACGGGGCCAGCGCCATGCCAACCTCCCGCTCCTCCACCTCCGGTAGGCATTTGGATAGCTTCTGTTCCGCGGTGTTATAGCACTTGGCGTCTTTTTCGCTACTGTGTCCCAGTTGAAACGCCTGCAGCAGCTGGTCATTCAGTTCGACGTCCACGGCTGCCACCGGGGCGACCAAAAATTCGTCCGGCAAGAGCCTGCGTGCGACAATGAGCTTCAGGAAGAACAAAAAATCCACCATGAGGATCGACGACAATGGCGTGCCCTCGACGAAAAAACTGCGTAAAATCCCGTTCCCCAAGACGTAGTCGTCGTGAACGCGCAGCTTGTACGCGTCCACAATCCACTCGCACAGCTCAGCCAGCCGAAAGTCTTTCAACTGCAGAGCCGGGACTCTGGTGGCTTTTGGGGAAATTGTGGGAACTGCTGCAGTCGTGGGTGTAGTCGCTGACGTGCAAGATGATGGTCCCGCGCCAGTTGCTGGACCGGTGCTTTTATCCATCTGCTGGCGGTTCTTCTTGTTTTTGCCTTTTTTGTTTCCGGTCGTTACTGTGGTTGCCGCAGCCGCACCCGCAGCAGGCTTACTCTCTCCTACTTCGCTGCGTTCCTTCTCCGGTGGCGGTTCCTCGTCTTTCTCTATTTCGCGCTGAAAGAACTTGATCCAGCTTTCGCGCGTGAAGAAATCATGTGCAGAAGTGGTTCTGCTAGGCAGTCCTCCTCCTTGTGCACGGGACGACACATCAAAAGACGCCGGCTTCGTCGCGCCTGCAGTAGCCTTCGCACTGGTCGTAGCATCGTCTGCTTCACCAGTGCATCTCCGTGAACGAGTGATGCGACTCTTGTTTTGCCTAATATGTTCAGCCGCCATCTCGTCCAACCGGCGAAACCAGTGCTTCTTCAGCCTCAATTCGTCTTCTGCAGACAGCGTTTCGTCCTCGTAAATCGTTTGAGGAAACGTGTAACCGTACTTCGCTGTGTTCGGCGAACTGGCAGTGAATTTCAGTGGGTGGCAATCCAGAGCGCTCGCTCCGACTTCCTCGAACAGCGCAGGCTCCTCTAAATTCCACTCAGCAAGTGTGGCGAGCGCTGAGTAGAACGAGATGGCGCAGTAAACAGAGTGAGATTTTTTACTTCGTCCACAGCTTTCTTCAATTGCGCCGCTGTGTCGCTCGGAACTGCTGGAGACACCAGCGTCTGCCGGTGGACGAGTAGAATGATAACCTTTCGTTTCTACTTCCACTTCATCATCAACGACCACGAGATTTTCGTCCTGAATCTTGTCAAGTCGCGCTCGGCACTGCGCGAAGCGAATGTCCGACCGCAGTTTTTGATCGCTCTCTACGGAGATCGTGGGCGTCTGCAGTTCCTTGCACAGAATCGAGCTCATCTCCGGCCGATCATTGGCGAGGCACCGGCGTATCAGCCGCTCTTCCTTGCTGTTGGTGTTCAGGAGAAAACCCATGGTCTGAGACATGACGCCACCGCCGGGCTTTGACTTGGCGTGATCAAAGGAAGCCGTGGCCAAGACACGGTAGCATTTGCGAATGAAATCTAGGCGTATCCACAAATGCGCCGTCACCTTGGCAAACCTCGCTGTTCGCGTGCCGCACTCGCACACCGGGCAGAAACTACTGTTATTTCCAGTGCTTGCAGAGCGCGACTTTGTTTTGTTCAAGAACGCGGTGGAATTGTTGGCAGTAGTTGAGGTCGCAGCTCCACCTTCAATTGCGCTGCTGCTTGACGCCTGGCAACCTTCCGCCTGGGAAGCAGCAATTACTTGTTCCGCGGATGGAATGAGTTTTCGGTACAGATTCAGGTGCTGCTTCTTCTTGGCTTTCGTCGTTGACCTTCTCGATGCAGTGTGAGCTGCACCCAAACCAGGGCTGCGTGATGCGGGGTGAAATAGACTGCTGCCATACGTTGTGTCCGCACAAAGGCGGGTCAGGTACTCCTCTGCCTCCTGATGCATCCCCGCACCCGCTTCGATTAGCGTACAGAATGCAGCGACGGGCGCATTAAGCTTGTCAAAGAGGGTCGCTGCCTCTTTGCTAAGCCCCTTTTCGCGCATCAACCCGGCGGCAGCGACGAAGAAAAATAACCTGCTTTCCGGACCCATGCCAGTGGCGGTCGTGCGCAGCGTTGGGGTCGTTACATTCGCCTGTTCGGCTTTCCGAGGCAAGCACCACGAGGAATGCGACTGATCGCTGCTTGATCCACCAAAAAGACTGCTAAGCAGATCCGCAGGCAGCAGAGCGGAGTTCTGGTTCGTCCCTGTCTTGACCGTGAGCATTGGATCACAGCACGGGGAGTACAACGCGAGTGAGTCTTCATCACCTGCAGTCTCGATCCAACTAAAGTCGAAATTAACGGCGTCGAAACGCCGGAATTTTCCATCAGGTAGCTCTGCGTCCCTATCGCTTAGATCGAGTGGCTCTCCTTCTTTTCTGTTACAACTCGTGTCCACTGGAAGTTCTGCGGTCTTATTTCCAGCAACGACTAGTACTGGTTGTGTTAGCTGGCCCCCCAACAGCTCGGACAATCGGAGCCCTTGGCCGTAGTACTGCACGAGGTCCAGACAAAACCGGATCCTCCTGCCCAGCCCGGCGTCTTCGTGCAGATAAAAGTCCTGCCAGTGGTCTGCGCGGAACGGGTTACTCGTTCCAGTGGCAAAGCAACGCAGCTCGTCCTCGTCACGGCCACAATCCGGCGTATTGAAAAAAGCCGCCGCGGGTAGCAGACCGTGCAGCTGGTCGACCGCCTCAAAGTAGGTCTGGCTCATAGCGTTCTTTTGGTCTCTCTCCACTTCCAGCTTCTTGTTTTCCCTGAGCAGTCGTCGCCCCCGCGCGCAATGAATGCGCGCCAGCAAAGCCGTGTGGTACAGCATCCCCTCGCTGCCCGTGTCCCGAAGCAAGTCGAAGGCCTCGTCCCATTGAGGGTGGTGCTGCTTCAAGCACTGCAACGCCCGCTGTTCGCGGGCATACACACTGTTCCCCAGTGTTTCTGGATTCCCGAAATCATACACGTTCGGCGTGCGCCGGCAGCGGCGCTCCGTGGTGACGAAGTGGAGCACGGGGATAACGGAACTTCTACTCGCCCCTTCGTGCCGCAAGTGCTCGCCGAAAAAAGTGGAGCGCCCCTCCGCCGGAGGACCACCTTCATCATCGGTGGAGGACGGAGCCGCCATCAGCCGTCTCGCGTTTTCGACTGTGAAAATCTCCTCGGGCCAGTGCGCCGCGTGCAGGAAAGCGTGGCACATTCTTTCCTTCGCGGGGTCGCTGCATGTGGTCACTCCGTACCAGGCCTGGAGCGCCTGTAGGGCCACACTGCGCTTCGGGTCGGCCTCCTCGTAAAACAGCAGTCGGCGCTTCGCCCGCGTAACCACACTGTACAACGTCTGCAGATCTAGCAACCAGTGCGAGTCGTAGTCTACCTCAGGAGAGGGCGGAGCTGCTGCCCCCTCTGTTCTTCTTGCCCCTCGAGTTCCATCAACATCGGAGGTGCTGCCCTGCTGATCAAATGCAGCACGTTCGCCATCGGGGTCTTCATTGAAGCCGGAAGTCGCAGGAGATGGTGAGACCACGGCTTGCTCGGGCGCTGATTTTGTTATCCTTATCAGCCTCGCCCAACATTTCTCGCTGCACCTGGGTGCGGCGCTCGACTTTTTTCGACTCGTTGCATCTTGGTCCACTTTGTTGTCGGTCCCGTAGGAATCGGTCGGGAGGTAGTTTGACGAAATACCACCGCCGCTTCCCTGGCCGTAGTTGTTGAAGAAGTTGTCGCTGTTGGGATAAAAGTGATTGCTGGTGTTCCCGTGAAAGTAATCACCGCTGGAGAAATGGTTCATCGGGTCGCCAGCTCCGCAAAAATTCTGCTCATCCAGCATGTGTTCTTCACCGCGTTCGCGCAATATTTCGCGGTACCTTTCCCGGACGCTGGTGCAGAAATCGTGCGCGGTGTCGGAGCCCGAGGGGGATCCGAAAAAATTCCAAACGCACACGTCGTACAGCTCCTTACCGCGGGCCTCCTCGACTGTCAGAATCTTCGGGAGATGCTGCAGCTCGACAGCGAGGCCGGATTGCTGCAACGCGGATATTTGCCGGTTAAGAGACGACACATCTACTTCTGCTCCAGCGTTATTTCTCATCTTTTTTCTTCTCTTCAAAAGGCGCTTTCGCCTTTGCGACAAAATTGCTTTGACGCTCTTTTCCAGCAGCGCTTCCAGCCGGTCTTTTTCGTCACCAGATCGCACAATAATCGCCGACGCGACGAGTCCTCCGGTATTGCAAGCCGGGTCTCCGAAGGTTTGCTTGATTTGAGTCCTTGTTCGGGGGGCAGATGACGTGCCTGATTTATTCTGCCCGTCTTGCACACCGTCGTGCTCTTGTTCCCTGCGAGGAAGGACGTCATCTTCATCGACGTGTTGGCGTTTATCAAAACCAAAAGCACTATCCTGCCGGCTCCTGTCCTCGTCCTCTTCTGAGCAGCTGGATAATTCGTCCTCGTCTGGAGGCAGATTTCTGCCAACGGCAGTTTGCTTTATTTGAACGCCGGCGCCGCTTCCGGGCTCCTCGCTAAGAAACGTGTCTTCGAAAAGTCCTTCGTCGTCCGCAGCTGCCAGCAAATGTCTGTCTTTGAACAACAACGTCTGGAGAAAGGTCTGTACCGGGACGCCAGCAACCAGAACGGGGGGCGACCCCAGGTTGGTCCGGGACGAATGAGAGGGCTTTCTTGCTTCATCCATGTTTACGCCGGTGTTGCCATCGTCTGATGTTCTTTCATCATCGTCACTTTGAAGCCCATCCTCCTCGTTCTTCTCAATGTCGTCTGTCGCAAAGTTGTCAACATCATTGCTGCCGTGTCGTCCCGCCAGTACCCGGTCAGGAAAAAAACGCTTCATGATTTTCAGCAGACTCTTGCTGAACCTCCGCACACAGCGTGTCTGTGCCTGGTTCGCCTTGGTAAGGACCGTCAAGTCGCGCAGACCGGTGCGGACAAAGGACTCCCGGCCCAGTTCCCGGTGCCAAATTTGGTGAAAGAGCAAGTGTTTGATCCTCTTCGGGTCTTGCATAGTTTCCGTGGCAGGGAAAGCAGACGGCGCCGCGCCCGCACCACCCAAGTCAGAGCTTGTCACAAAGCAAAACGGACCAACGGCACGGCCACGTAATAGGGCAAACATGGCGACCTCCTTGGGCGTCTGTAACAATCAATGCATGCATTTTTTAGTACAATTTGTACACTTTCTATTTACTTGGGGCAGAAAAAAAAGTTCGTGTTGACGAGGAGTCTTCGTGCTGTGACATTCATTTTCAATGTCATAGTCCTCCAAAAGAGCGATTCGTAAAAACAGAATTCATGCACGTTCACATCGACAGTGAGTAATACAAAAGGAAACTGCAAAACAGAACTATACCAAGTGTTCCACGGAATCCACCAAGATCTGCAGCTCCAAACCGAATATGTCCTTCTTTCCGTTTTCCAAGTAGCGATGCCAGATGTGGTCGCAGGCGTGCACCAAATCGTAGCAGTCTTCCGTCTCTAGAAGTTCTATGTACTGCTTGTACATGCGAAACACGATTTCGCGATCCCGCAGGCTCGGAAACAAAGATCTTTTCGGTGTACCAAACAACAAGCCCTGGTGGTTCTTCGTCGCTTGTAAGTATCGCTCTTCCACGTGAGGTAGCGCGGAAAAGATACTACGATACCTACAACTCTCCTCATCTTCCCCGATGCCGACACTTCCACATTGAAAGATGATCTCCTCGTCGTTTTCCTCCAGAAAGAGTCCGCCGCCCGCGAGAAGGCGGAACTCTTGCCAGACGTCAAAGGCGGCAAAGGAGTGGGAAAACGCAACCTTTTCCTGCAATTTGGGCCAGAAAACTCGACAGAAGTTTGCGAACGTGACCCTCGTGGATGCGTCTTTGCCGCTGAGATTGTCCCGCGTAGCCGGGTTGTAGAAATACTGCTCATTCTTGGATATTTCTGTCCCC